ACCTAAATTTCCTACTTGATATATGCAACTGTCTTTCGGGCTGCAAAGGTCGACAGCAAGCTACACAAAATTGGTCAGAAACTCACTCCGACATGGGCTGGCTTCAAACTCATGACCTTTCAGTCAGTAGTGATCTTAATGTGGCTGACTCCCAGCCAGCTGTGCCACGTCCCGGTGAAAGATCTTGGTGTCTTTGTGGGGAACAAGTTGAACATGAGCCAAGAGTTTGATGCAGCAGCTCAAAAAAACAATGGGATTTTGGGCTGCATCAAAAGGAGTCTTGTGTCCAGATCAAGAGAAATCATGGTGCCTCTCTATTTTGCTTTAGTCAAACCTTCTCATCTAGAATACCGTGTCCAATTTTGTGTCTCACCACAATTCAAAAGAGATATTGACAAGCCAGAAAGAGTCCAGAGGCAGGAAACTAAAATGGTTAAAGGTCTGGAGACCATGAATAATCCCTCTGAGGAGCATCTTAAAAACTACATCTGTTTAGCCTGCAGAAGAGAAGATGAGAGGAAGCATGCAATTTTTCTGCTTCTTGGCATAGGGTTGGACTGGATGGCCCACAAGGTCTCTCCCAACTCTCGGATTCTATGATTCTATGTCTGACGTGCATCTTGTTTGCTTCAGGCTTGGTTTGCTCTCAGACCCATCTCCTCCTCTTTTTGACTAACTAAATGCCATCAGAAACCCGAGTTCGATATTTTCGGTATCTCTGCTCATCTCTTTAGAAGGCAGACCTTGCAGGAAGATGCTGCCTTTCAGCTGGGATTGAGAAGGATGGCAAATGACTGGGCCGCCTTTCCACCAAAGCAAAATCAGAGCCAGGTGCCATGTCTTCCAAGAACTTGGCCGCGGGAGAGAATAGAAACCGAGCTGCCGAGCGCCTCACGGTGATTAAGTAAAGTCCGTTCGCACTCATCTGTTATCTCTTAATTAAAGTTCCCGGCTAATTATTTTCCCTTGTCAAGAGAGCCAAGCTGCTGACTCTGGAGATTCCTGCAAACAAAACGGAGGCCCCCGCTCCCCATCGCTCTCGGTTAATGACCAAATTAAACCTGGAACGCTCCATATCTTTGCCCGCCCGGGTGCCGCTTCATCACACCTGCTTCGTCTTGAGAGAGAGAGAAGCGCCCCTTTAAATCACACCCCGAGCAAAGCAACCAGTGTTCTTTGCACAGGGCCCATTCTTCGTCTTCTTCTTCAAGGATGCTACGAGGCAGGGAAATGAACTCAGATGAGGAAAATGCTGAGCCAGGAGGCACAAAAGCCATCCGTTCAGGTTGCTGTGGTTTAACTGAGAAAGGCAGCAATCAGGAGGAACTAGGTGTTTCCTCTAATGCAGAGTTTACTTACTACTTTACTACTTAGGTTGGGACCCCTGGGGGGGTCGCAAGGGGGCGTCAGAGGGGTCACTAAAGACCTTATACACATAGCTTGAAGGTAATTTTAAACAATAAAGCAGTGTGTCACGTTGCCAGGGCTCCGCCTTATTTAGGTAGAGATGAATCAATCTCCCAGTTTTATCAAACGGATTAATTAAAACAGCACTTACTTGCTGGTTGTTTTAATAGACCAAAATATAACACACAAAGATAGCACTCAGCTACAGAATAAACAAAATCTGATAGCAAAAATAACTTCGTAGTCAAAAGGGTCCGGTCCAGTGGTCAAATGCCGAGAGTTCAATAACAGAGTCCAGGGATCAAGAGTCTATACCGTAGTCAAAAGCCAGTCCAAAGGTTCAAGGTTCCAGGATTCCAAGATTACAGGAGACAGGTCAGGATACCGAAACATCCAACAGACCTGGGGGAAAAACCAGCAGCATCCACCACCAAAATACAACAGATACTTTTCTCCCAAAGATCAGTCTCAAGCTTAGCTCCTTAAATCCAGTAACACCCAGCTGCAACCCATCTCCTGCACACCTCTACCCCTAATTGCTTTCACCCATGAACTCCCACTTACAGATTACCAAACCCTCTAGAACAGCGTTTCTCAACCTGGGGGTCAGGACCCCTGAGGGGGGTCGCAAGGGGGCGTCAGAGGGGTCACCGAAGACCACCAGAAAACACAGTATTTTCTGTTAGTATGGGGGTTCTGTGTGGGAAGTTTGGCCCAATTCTATCATTGGTAGGGTTCAGAATGCTTTTTTATTGTAGGTGAACTATAAATCCCAGCAACTACAACTCCCAAAATGTCAAGGACTATTTTCCCCAGACTCCACTGGTGTTCACATTTGGTCGTATTGAGTATTCGTGCCAAGTTTAGTCCAGATCCATCATTGTTTGAGTCCACAGTGGTCTCTGGATGTAGGTGAACTACAACTTCAAAACTCAAGGTCAGTGCCCACCAAACCCTCCCAGTATTTTCTGTTGGTCATGGGAGTTCTGTGTGCCAAGTTTGGCCCAATTCCATTGTTGATGGAGTTCAGAATGCTCTTTGATTGCAGGTGAACTATAAATCCCAGCAACTACAACTCCCAAATGACAAAATCAGCCCTCCTCCCAACCCCACCAGTATTCAGATTTGGGTATATTGGTCCAGTGAATGAAAATACATCCTGCATAACAGATATTTACATTATGATCCATAACAGTAGCAAAATGACAGTTATGAAGTAGCAACGAAAATAATTTTATGGTTGGGGGTCACCACTACATGCGGAATTGTATTAAGGGGTCACAGCATGAGAAAGGTTGAGAACCACTGACTTAGGTGATCCCTCATTGTCTGAGTAAGATTGTCCTCCAAGTGCAGTGTCCTGGCGGTAGGTCCATAGGTGACTGTGGAGTCCTATTCTTCCAGATGGAAGGTGGTCCCGGTTGGGGTTGGCTTGACGTGCCTTCCTCTTGGCACATTTCTCCCTTTCGCCTCCATTTGTGCCTCTTCAAATTCTACAGCACTGCTGGTCACAGCTGACCTCCAGCTGGAGCGGTCAAGGGCCAGGGCTTCCCAGTTCTCAGTGTCTATGCCAGAGTTTTTAAGGTTGGCTTTGAGCCCATCTTTCAATCTCTTTTCCTGCCCACCAGTATTCTGTTTTCCATTCTTGAGTTCGGAGTAGAGAAACTGCTTTGGGAGATGGTGCTCGGGCATCGGGACAACGTGGCCAGTCCAGCGTAGTTGATGGTTTATTTTTATTTATCGTGTCATCAGCAACCAGACAATTGTATTACATTTTTAACAAAAACAAACAAACAAACAGACAGACAGACAAAAC